GGAAGGAAAACTTACAAACTCATTCTACGAGGCTAGCAGAATCTGGTGATTCCAAAACCAGACAAAGACCTACTAATAAGGAGAACTACAGACCAATTTCCCTGAACATGGATGCAAAATTTCTCAAGATATGAGCAAACCGGATCCAACAATACATTAAAAGAGTTATTCACCATGATCAAGTGGCATTTATTCCTAGGATGCAGGGTTGGTTTAATATCTGCAAATCAATCAATGTGATACATCACACTAATAAAAGGATAAGAACCACATAATCCTCTCATCAGATGCAGAAAATGCATTTGACAAAATACAGCATCCCTTATTCATAAAAATCCTCAAGAAAGTAGAGATAGAAGTAACACACCTCAAGATCATAAAGGACAAATACAAAAGACCCACCACTAATATGATCCTCAATGGGGAAAAATTGAGAGCTTTCCCCCTAAGGTCAGGAACATGACAGGGATGTCCACTGTTATTCAACACAGTGTTGGAAGTCATAGACTCAGCAGTCAGACAATACAAAGAAATAACAAGCATCCAAATTGGCAAGGAGGAAGTCAAACTTTTACTCTCCACAGATGATATCATACTCTATGTGAAAAATCCAAAAGACTCCACCAAAAAACTGCTAGAACTAATCCATGAGTTCAGCAAAGTCGCAGGATATAAAATCAATGCACAGAAATCGGTTGCAATTCTATACACAAATAATGAAGCAGCAGAAAGAGAAGTCAAGGAATTGATCCCATTTACAATTGCACCAAAAACCATAAAATACTGAGGAATAAACCTAACTAAGGAGGTGAAAAATCTATTAGCTGAAAACTATAGAAAGCTTATGAAAGAAATTGAAGAAACACATAAAAAAATGAAAAAACACTCCATATTCCATGGACTGAAAGAACAAATGTTGTTAAAATGCCAATAGTACCCAAAGCAATCTACACATTCCATGCAATTCCTATCAAAATAGCACTTGCATTCTTCACAAAGCTAGAACAAAGAGTTCTAAAATTTATCTGGAATCAGAAAAGACCCTGAATAGCCAAAGTAATGCTGAAAAAGAAAACCAAATCCGGAGGCATCACAATTCCGGACTTCAAGGTGTATTACAAAGGTGTCATCATCAACACACTATGGTAGCGGCACAAAAACAGATCGATGGAACAGAATAAGAATCCAGAAATGGACCCACAAACTTATGGCCAACTAGTCTTTGACTAAGCAGGAAAGAATATCCAACGGAATAAAGACAGTCTCTTCAGCAAATGGTGCTGAGAAAACTGGAGGACAGTGACATGCAGAAAAATGAACCTGGACCACTTTCTTATACCATACACAAAAATAAACTCAAAATGGAGGAAAGACGTAAACGTAAGACAGGAAGCCATCAAAACCCTGGAGGAGAAAACAGGCAACAACCTCTTTGACCTCAGCCACAGCAACTTCTTACTTGACATGTCTCTGGAGGCAAGGGAAACAAAAGCAAAAATGAACTATTGAGACTTCATCAAGATAAAAAGCTTTTGCACAGTGAGGGAAACAATCAGCAAAAGTAAAAAGAAGATATTTGCAACTGACACATCAGATAAAGGGTTAGAATCCAAAACCTATAGAGTACTTATCAAACTCAACACCAAAAAACAAATAAACCAGTGACAAAATGGGCAGAAGACATGAATAGACACTTTTCCAAAGAAGACATCCAGATGGCTAACAGACACATGAAAAGATGTTCAACATCACTCTTCAGCAAGGAACTACAAATCAAAAGCACAATGAGATACCAACTCACACTTGTCAGAATGGCTAAAATTAGCAACTGAGGAAACAACAGATGTGGAGAAAGGGGAACCCTTTCTGCACTGCTGTTGGGAATGCAAACTGGTGCAGCCACTCTGGAAAACAGTATGGAGTTTCCTCAAAAAATTAAAAGTAGAACTACCCTATGACCCAGCAATGGCACTACCAGGTATTTACCCAAAGGATACAAAAATGCTGATTTGAAGGGGCATATGCACCCCAACATTTATAGCAGCACTATCAACAATACCCAACATATGGAAAGAGCCCAAATGTCCATCAATTGATGAATGGATCAAGAAAATGTGGTATGTATATATACAATGGAGTATTACTTGGCAATCAAAAAGAATGAAATCTTTCCATTTGCAACAACGTGGATGGAACTAGAGTGTATTATGCTGAGCCAAATCAGTCAGTGAAAGACAAGTATCATATGATTATACCCACATGTGGAATTTAAGAAAAACAGATGAACATAGGCGAAGGGAATCAAAAATAATATAAAAACAGAAAGGGAAACAAACCATAAAAGACTCTTAAATATAGAGAACAAACTGAGGGTTGCTGGCGGAGTGTTGCATAGGGATGGGTTAAATGGGTGATGAGCATTAAGGAGGGCACTTGTTGTGATGAGCACTGGGTGTTTTATTTAAGTGATCAGTCACTAAATTCTATTCCTGAAATCAGTATTACACTATATGTTGGCTAACTTGGATTAAAAAAAAAAAAGATAATAGTATCATGTCAGGGCTATTTAAAGCTAAAAAAAAACAAAAACAAAAACAAAAAACCCTGAGGATCTAACTTCTGCTAGGTTACATTAAATGCAGTTGTGGCAAATGACACCGCCTGGCAGTTGTGAGACAATTACAGACAAGAATAGAACATTCCTATTACAGCTCTAAGTAAATAATAGGATGTCTGTGTACTAATTTTCAATGTTAGTGTCCTTTAATAAAATTCATTTCTTTTTTAAAAAATTTTTAATATTTACTTATTTTTGAGAGAGAGATAGAGCATGAGTAGGAGGGGGAGAGGGGGAGAGGGGGAGAGGGGCACAAAGAATCCAAAGCACTGGATTCTGGCTCTGAGGTGTCAACAACAGAGCCTGAGAGAAGGCTGGAGCCCACAACCATTAATCACATCATGACCTGAGCTGCAGTCGGATGCCCAACTGACTGAGCTACCCAAGTTCCTGTAAAATTCATTTCTTAAAAAAAAAAATTCTATCCCATATTACTGAAAATATCTTCACGATTATTATGGCTGATACTTCTATAAAAAGCTTAAGATTCTGTACATATAAAAGGGGACATTTCATTAAGAGAAACATGAGGGAAAGGCAGTGAGAAAAAATGAGAGGGAGATTCCATCAATCAATACCTGCCATATGCATTAGGACAGACAGAAAAGTACAAACTCAACTCACTGACAGAACTCCCTGACTTACAACTTTGTTAGAAAGGAAAAAGAAATCACTGTGGTAACATAATTGGAGAGGAACAATATGCTTCCTATACTGAGGTTTCCACTCGAAGAGATATAGTCATGCTCAAAAGAAAAAGCAATTGGGGCTGGGATAATCTAGGAAGGCTTGAGGAGGAGAAGCTTGAACTTAGATTTATAATGGGCTAAAGGAGGAGGGACAGCTTTCCACAAAAGTGAAACAGTAGGGGGCGAAATTCTGAGTCCTGACAGAAAGGCACCCTGGCCTCCAGACACCTGTTGTCCAGGACCAGAATGGGTTCACTAGTGAGGGTTGAATAAAGGCCTCCAGCTGTGGCCTAGGGACAGTATGATGGAGTCTTTGGGGGAGTTTACCAGGGGACAACTACCTGGCCCAAAGGCCTTACTCAAGTATTTCTTATTTAGCTGGGCTGGAGGAGGTTGCTGAAGTCCTTGAAAGCGGGGCTTATGCTGAGAATTTTGATACTTTAATCTGAGTGGAATGGATGAGATTGGGAGGATACAGAAATAGCTTCAGCTGTACTCCCTGGAGTAGTTTCAGATTTTATCTAGATCTTCTGATGAGGGAATTGCTCTGTTTACTATAGCACTTCACAGAGGTTTGAGAAAATTTAAATTTTCCACATCAAAGAATGGGGAGGTGGTGTTGGAGGTTATGGGGGTGTCCAAACCTCCCAATTGATACCCGTTGTGACTCTTGTATACTTCCTAGTCTTTCCTATGGGACACAGCTCTGATAGCTTAACCCCAGAGAGAAGGTAAGACCTGTTTGGGATGCTTATTACACTGCTGTACTCTTAACAGCCTGAAAAAAAAACCTTTCAACAGTTTTAAACATTTAGAAAAAGGCATAAAGTGAAAGAAGGAGATTTTCAAATTGGTGTGGTAGAAAGAGGAGCTGGGCATTTGAGCGAAATCTGATGCTGTCACTTACTAGTTTTGTGCCCTGGGAATACTTGTTTTTGTGCCTGTTTTTCTACAAGCACAAGAGGGAATTGTGAAAGAGGTTTTCAGCTGGCTTGTACAGCACCTCCCATCATCTTCTCTTGCAAACCTTTGGAAATATGTGTTGTACCGGCAGAGCGAGGGTGGGGGGCAGAGGGGAAAGTAAAGGTGTTTTGGATTGTCTCTCTCAGAAGTGCCATAAAACTAGTGGGCTCAACCAAATGTCTTGCAATACCTGAGGCATGCAGCAAATGAAGAAAAGTCCTGCTCCAAATGCCACAAGACCACTGAGAGTGCTCAAAAATCCCTCCAACTTTAATCTGAGGACTTCACTAAGCCTTGGGCTAGGACGCACGCAGCACCATAGACCAAAACCTGTCTGGCGCGTTCCCCCAACTTCATCAGTGGCTAACCAACTCATCACTCAGTTTTCTATGTACATTCCACTTCTTCGAGACACCTGCCCTAGCGCCCATACCGATCTTACTATTATATTGTTTTATTATTACCGGATTAATCTCTGCCTCCCTCCACCCCTCGGTAGACTCCATAACGGCAGGGATCGTGGATACCTGTCGGGCTTACAGTTGCACTAGCAAACACTTTCTGAATAAACCCGAAGAGCTGATGAACCGAGAAAACACACAAGCCGCAAACGCGGGCCCAGACGAGGGTTGACACCCCCCCCCCCCCCCGTAACTTCCGCCCTTTCCCGCTCCTCCCAGCGCCCCCTTCTCCTTGCCTGTGTTTGTTTCCGGTGTTTCAATAAAGCTCGATTCGGCTCGAAGAAGACCTGTTCTTCCGGGAAAATGGCGACTCCCGCTCGTGCCCCGGAGTCCCCGCCGGTCGCGGATCCGGCGCTAGCCGCGGGGGCTGCTGAGGAATCCGAGTGCACGCCGCCTCGCCAGCCTCAGCCCCCGCAGAATGTCCTCGCTGGCCCGCGGCTTCGAGCCCCAAGCTCCCGAGGACTTGGGGCGGCGGAGTTTGGCGGAGCTGCAGGAGATGTTGAAGCGCCAGGAGAGACTTTTGCGCAACGAGTAAGCTTGGGTCCCGCCGAGTCACTGCCAGCCTCCTTTGGTTCGGTCTTCTTGGGAAGCGTTCCCTCGCCTTCTCTCACATCGGGTTCCCTACCCTGGAAGGTGACCTTGCCACAGTCAGACCTTTCCGGTCCCGCTGGCGAGCGGACGGCCTCCAGCCGCAAAGCCGGCTGCGTCCTGGTCTGGCACGTAACGCCTGCGGAGATTGCTTTATGCTGAAAGGCTGCTTACCGTTTCAGCTGTTCCTTAGCTTCGCGTTGATTTTAATTGTTTGACTACTTCCCTGAAGGGAGGGTCTGTGTCCTAAATCCTTTGGTAATCCCGCTCCCCTGCGGCCCATATCGTGCCCAAAACATCTTGTCAATTTCATCTTTCGATCCCATTTTTACAGGAACCGTAGGAAAGGGTAAGAGTGATAGGATATAAAGTGCAGATATATTAGGCAGAAAAAGTTTGTCTCATTCAGCCGGCCGACTTGACGGTAGCAGGGGAACGATAAAATGAAAGCGATTTTTTAGGAAGCTTATTTTAGCAGCTTGGTGCAGGATGGTTTTGAGGGAATAAGAGAAGACAGTTGGTTATTTCCAGCCAAGTTCCCAGCAAGAGGGCTGTATTTTTAAGGTAGTTATGGGATTGGGAAAACTACATCAGGCATGGAATAATTTGAATATGTAGGTGACAGAGAGTGCTGAAGTTTCCAGACTGTATAGAGAACCACTGATAAGAACAGAAAACCTGGGGAGGGGAATAGCTCTGTGGTTGATTTTATTTAGAGGGTACTGAGTTGAGGGGAGAGTTTTATCTACTTAAAAGCTGGAGAAGTCATGAGGATCAGGAGCCAGAAGGCTGGGAATACATAGGAATTGCAACTGGAGAGCCATATTAATGTTGAAATTGTGGGAAGGAATGTAGTGTGAGACGTAGAATAGGGAACCCGAGGTATAATCTTCCCTCCATCTATTATATGGATAAAGAAAAGAGAATCTGAAAAGGAACTTCTGTCACTTAGCAAAAGGGTCAAATGACCATTTGGAAGCTTTCTAGTAGAGACAAACGCTTGGACTTTTTGAGAATGGGATTTTGATCTAGAGCAGATAATTAACTTTTTTGGTCTCTGGGACCTGTTTAGACTGTTAAGACCCCCTGAGCCTCCCAAAGAGCTCTTGTTTTATGTGTATCTACTGATGTTTACTGGTGTATTAGGAATTACAGGTGAGAGATCTTTAAAACACCAGAATACACAATGATTAGCCATCAGAGCAATGATACCATCACATATCATGTGACCTTTGGAAAACTCCACTGTACCCATATGAAAAAATGAGCATGGATATGGCAAATAACGGTTTAGTATTATTATCAAAATCATTTTGACCTTGCAGACCCATCCACCTTCCCTCCCCAGTAAGATCTTGGAGATCACACTTTAAAAACTGCTGATGTTTGGAGTGTCTTACGGAGTATTATCATATGCTTAAAATACTTCCGCTGAAATTTAGACAGATGAGGCATATTCCTTATTCTTCCTACATCCCTTATTTTTTAGGGTATTTAGATCACGACTCTTATTTCATTCCTCTTTTGAGACCGTTGGAAATCAGATTTTTTACTTAAAGATAGATTTTTCTCCCTTTGAGGATAATGCTTTGAATTTCTATCTCAAGTTTAAAAACATGGCTGTAACATATACATTTTTTTTTCCATTTAACAGAAAATTCATTTGCAAATTGCCCGACAGAGGTAAAAAGATCTTAGACTCTTTTGCCAAACTGAAAGCTGCCATTGCAGAACGTGAAGAAGTTAGAGGAAAAACTGAACTGTTTCATCCTGTTAGTTTAGACTGTAAGCTAAGGCAAAAAGCAATTGCAGTTGTTGATGTGGACACAGATAAGGCCCAGAATTCTGACCAGATACTTGATACTTCGTCTCCAGTTTGTGGCTGTTCCTCTGTAAGTAACTTCAAGTCGTCTGAAACAACCTCACAACCACATCCTACTCACAAAGGCGATGAAGAGGCTCCCGAGGTTGAGGACACAGTGAGCAAGTGCCCGGTTCCCAGTAGCAGAGCGAGTGTGCCTTCCTCTTCTGAAGCTGGTGAGCGTCTCCCTCAGCGTCGTGTTTCAAGTCAGGCAGAAGATCATTCCAGCAGCTCGGACAACCTGTTTATTGATAGGTTACAAAGGATCACAATTGCGGACCCAGGTGAACAGCATTCAGAACAGGACAGGAGTGCTGAGAACTTGGCAGGGCTTTGTCGTGGGGCACAGAAGAAGCCTCATTACATGGAAGTGCTAGAAATTCGAGCCAAGAACCCAGTGCCCCCACCACATAAATTTAAAACTAATGTGTAAGTATCATCAGAAACAGGCCTGTCACGGGAACATACTCTTTGTTAAACTCAAAAAACTGGGAGAATGCTTTTAGTTTGCTGGACTTTGTGTGGGATCTGCTTATAGTTAGGTAAGAGCATATTGTGGAAACAGCCTCGCTGGGGTGGAGGATTCATGTTGGAAAATCCTTTAGGTTTTTAGCCAGAATTGAAAAGGTTTCAGATAGCAGGTGGAGTATTGAATTTCAGGGTGTTTAGCCAATATTTGATATTAAACCCAGAGTTAGAGAATTTATTATGACTTTATTTTTCACAACAGTTTTTTGGTATGCAGCTCCCCCCTTAGATTAGACGGTAAGTTAAGGGAAAAGCAGCTTTAGAAGCTTACAGACATCTCGGTGAAAAATATCTGCGTGCTCATGATATGTAAGCAGCTGGTGCTGGGGTGACACACAAGTAAAGCTCCTGCTCCTCAAAGAGCTCAGGATCTAGATGAAAACCCAAGCCTTACACTTTCAAAGAACAGTGAACTATATAATAACTTCAAGGGGAAAGGAGCCGAGAAGGGTTAAAGAAACTGAAAAACAGATTCAGGCAGGACTGGCAAACTAACCTTGCCATAGTTTTGTTTCTGAGTCTCCAGAAAAAGAAAAGCTCCTTGAAGAGAAAAGAATGGTATTCACTCATATGCAGATGTAACATTCAAATCAGGGAGTGGTTACTGGTACTGTGCCTGCCTGTATTTACCAGGATGTAACATCAGATACAAAGTGGAATCACTGCTGTCTTTCTTGAAAAAACTGAAAACCTCTAGTTAGAAGTACCTAAAACTTTTATTTATTTATTTTTTTTTTAATTTTTTTTTCAACGTTTTTTATTTATTTTTGGGACAGAGACAGAGCATGAACGGGGGAGGGGCAGAGAGAGAGAGGGAGACACAGAATTGGAAACAGGCTCCAGGCTCCGAGCCATCAGCCCAGAGCCTGACGCGGGGCTCGAACTCACGGACCGCGAGATCGTGACCTGGCTGAAGTCGGACGCTTAACCGACTGCGCCACCCAGGCGCCCCATAAAACTTTTATTAAAGAATTACTATAAAGAGACTAAAGTTTAACCCTGCCTTTTTTTTTTTAACTTGAAAACATTTTTTCTTCTATATAGAAAACCAGGATTATATTACATTAAAATTTAGTTAAGAATAAAGAGTAATCTTTGTGCCCTCTGTCGGTAATCTTTCATCTTGTGTGCAGTGAAGTAGGTTTCTTCACTTCTGGGAAGACAGAAAACCAGAAGCATCATCTAGTTGGTCAGAGAATACAGTGATCCTGGTTCTGGGTTATGGTCATATAGCTGTAGGTGGGAGTGGGGAGAGCCAGAGGGCCTCCTGTACAGTTAAAGCAGATCAGGAAAGGCTGGCCTGGTCAGCTGTGGATTGAGGGATTCCATGTATGAACAGCCTTTGGCTCCTTTTCTGCTCTTCTGGCTCCAGAATACCACCTGGATGCTGGCAGCTACCCCTCCTATCCCTCTACCTTAGGTCTTCCGGAACTTGAGATCCGCATGGCCCATTATATTTGAAACCATGTGGGTGTTCTGTGGCACCTCAGCTTTATCATGTGCAGGATAGAACACTTCTTCCTGCACTGACTTTCTCCTATATTCCCTAAGTTCATGGTGCCACCACTTTGGTTTTTTTTCCCCAAGGTGTGTTCCTTTTTCTTCATATTTGCTAGCCAGAAAGACCCGCCTGATGTATTTTGTTGACCTTCATCTCTAGTCATTCTTATTTTCATCCTTTCCTATCAAAAGGGAAGGCTCTCATCCCTCTCTTGGGCTATAACTGACCTGTTCTGGATTCTAGTCTTATGTCTTCCAGCCCATCCACGCCACTGCTGCCAAAATGAAGTTAGTAAAATGCAGATCTGAATCCGGTGCATAGAACAGAACTCTTTGCTGAAGACTGGGCCCAGCCGACTCCCCAGCCTTATCTTACCGCTGTTCCTGCATGCCCTAGCCCCTGAACTTCCCTTATGTCTCACCATATTGCCCCTCATTCCCACAGTGAGCATTAATTATTCCATGACTTCTCAGAATTCACTGTTTTAAAGCTTTTCTGACACCTTCCTGTCTCCCGTTAGAACTGGTGGTTCAGTGGTGCCTGGGTGGCCCAGTTGGTTAAGCATCCGACTCTTGGTTTTGGCTCAGGTCATGGTCTCATGGCTTTGTGAATATGAGCCCCGCCGTTGGTCTCTGTGCTGACAATGTGGCGCCTGCTTGGGATCCTCTCTATCCCTCGCCCGCTCATGCCGTCTCTCTCTCAAAATAAACAAACTTAAAACTGGTGGTTCAGCTCAAGTGTAAGTTTTGAAGAGAGAAGGAAAATATAAAGAGCTTGTCAGTCTACCTATTATCTGTTAAAAACAGTGGGTTGTCATATATCACTCTCCAAAGAAGGGCCGATTTAAATACTCCTGCTTTTGAAGTAAATATGTTTAAAAATGGGAAGGATTTGTATCTACAAATAGAAATATTGGTAAACTCCCATTATCTTTGCAGAAGAATGAATTGCTAGGTTAAAGTCCGCTTCTGTGTGTGAATGTTGTAAACACGTGTCTATAAAAAGGAAACAGTCTGATGACAGAACATAAATTTTCCCTCCTTCAGATTACCTTCACAACAAAATGATTCATCTAGTCATTGGCAGAGAACAGGGTCTCCCATTTCCTTGGAAGAAAGGCGGCTCAGGGATAAGAAGCATCTTGATGACATCACAGCAGCTCGGCTCCTGCCACTTCACCATATGCCCACACAGCTGCTCTCCCTGGAAGAATCTGTGGCACTTCAGAAACAGCAGAAACAGAATTATGAGGTATTAAGAGTTTTACGTGTTTCTTGAGTGTGTGTTGGATGCTGCTAATCACAGTTCACTCCAGCGAGTTCAGAGAGGACAGAACTTAATAGAAGGGAGTAGGTGCTTGAGAAATGGCTGGCTAATGCCGTTGGCTCTCAGGTGTATGCCTCCAGTTTTCAGAGTCTCGGAAGTCTGCAGGGCCCAGCTGGAGAGGATCCCAGCTACCTGCAGCAGCAGCAGAGTGGGGAGGAAATGTGGGGAGACTCAGGCAGAATTCCCCATCTCTTAAAGCCTATGCTGTTAGGCTAGCAGAAGTCTTACTTCTCTGTCTTGTATCTCGTAAACCCCATGTGAGAGATTCTCAGTGTAGAATCTAGTCTCAGTGGTAGAATCAGGGAAATGTTTTCAGGTTTCCATCTCCTGCCAAACAGGGAAGAGCATAACCCTGGGGGACTACTGTGGTGTTACCAACAGACGTTTGGACACTAAGCATAAAAGCATGATCTGCAGGGGCACCTGGGTGGCTCAGTCAGTTAAGCGTCCAGCTTGGGCTCAGGTCATGATCTCACCATTTGTGGGGTTGAGCCCCCTGTGGGGCTCTGTGCTGACAACTCAGAGCCTCGAGCCTGCTTCTGATTCTGTGTCTCCCTCTCTCCACCTTCCCCACTCACAAACACTCTGTCCTCTCTCAAACATTTAAAAGAGAGAAAGCATAATCAGCAGGCCCTTGTGAAGACAGAAGAGTCTTTAGTCGCCTGCTTTAGTGACTTAATTTTGTATAGCACTTTCCTCAAAGATCTGGGAGTTCTGCAGAGAACTTTAAACATACATATGAACAGTTTATGTACAGACTAATGGGATGGGAGAAAACAAGTGTGAGGGCAGTAGGGAGAAAAGAAAGAGTCCAATATACTTAGATAGGAGTAATTTGAACCTCCAGGAGAACAGCAGCTTAAGTTCCTAGTATTGTTAGCTAAATTCTAATCAGGTGCCATACCCCCAGTTAATACAAAACTAGGCTGTTATTCAGTCTTGGCTTTTCACAGAAGTTCCATTGGCATGGGTTGTTGGCATTTTCAAGGCACTCCATTTTAAAAGCCATTTTTCTTCCTCGTGTATTAAAGTCTTATTGCCTAGCTATGACGGCAGCAGTGGGGAATTGTTTTTTAAATTGTTTATGTGATGTTCAGTGCCTGTCCTAAGATATTTTTAAATTGAATTCAACTCCTCCGTTTGACACTGGGTTCCTCGTCAGAGTAGTAGTAGCTCACACCCAGAATCTTCGTGGCCTCAGGGAATGACCTGAAGAAGTTCCCAGGCATAGGGTCAGAAGTGTGAGAAAAGTGAAGAGCCAGATGAGAAATGGGCATTGTCACCTGCCATCAGTCAGTCAGCGGTAATGTCCATGGGTGTACATGAGCACACTGCCAGTGTCCAAAACGTACTTGGACTTTCAGTTGCTTAGCTGTTTTCTTGGGAATATTTGGAGAGGGATAGTCAGCTTTTTAGTGTTGGTTGCTTGATTTTCATTGTGACATTGGAATGTTAACTCTCAAGCCTAAAAGCCATGACTTCATCTGGGAAAGAAGATTCTTTTTTGGAGGATCAGCACAACAGCGTTAGTGATTTTTTGACGTTTGATAGTTCAGACTTCTGTGAGTTTGTGTATACACGTGCATGTGTCCACATACTTAAAATTCTATCCATATTTGTCTTTCAAAAATTTGTTTTAATGGTTATTTATTTTTGAGAGAGAGAACACAAGGGAGTGGGGGAGGGGCAGCGAGAGGGAGACAGAGGATCAGAGCAGGCTCTGTGCTGTGAGTGCAGAGCCTTAGGCAGGGCTCAGACCCACAAACTGTGAGATCATGACCTGAGCTGAAATCCAAGAGTTGGCCACTTAACCGACTCAGCCACCCAGGCGCCCCCATGTTTGTAACTCTTGCAGCACTAAGCAGGTTACTCAGTTTCCCAAGTAGAGGGGGAGTATTTCCGTGCACTGTTGTCTATTATTGGAAATGTGACCGCAACTGTAGCAGGCTAGTAGCTCTCCCCAGCATTGCCCGCTTGTATCTGTGCTGGGTACAACCTCAGACTTGTCACATTGCTACAGAGAGCACTGAGTGGGGCGGTGTGCCCCTTGATTTCCTTTTCTCTTTAGAGGACTTCTATTGCAAAAATTGCAGGGAAGAAGATGTGAATGTATAACTATTTGCTTCGATTTTTGTTTTCAAGGAGATGCAAGCCAAGCTCGCGGCACAGAAATTAGCTGAAAGGCTTAATATAAAGATGCAGAGCTATAATCCGGAAGGGGAGACTTCCAGGAAGTACCGAGAAGTAAGGGATGAAGATGATGATCAGTCCTCTGGTGAGGAGTTCTGAAGACGGACATTGGGATAATGCCTGAATCTCTGTCTGCTGAGATGTCATGGTCACATCAGACTTTCTAACAAGTATCAAGATCAGTGTCAGGCATTGTTGAGGGAAGGAATTTTATAAAGTTACACAAAGGTAGCATTAAAAGAGCCCAGTTTGTCTTTCAGGAGAGGACTTTGATGTGCTTAAGAAGTTTAATATTTGAATATTGTGTTTGACCATATTGTATTAAAGTTCTGCAGTATGCTGTGTGTTGGTCTGATATTTTAGTACATAGTAAGCACGGTTTTATTTTCCACTAAGCCAAATGAAAGCGGGTAACTGCTCTTTTCCTTATTCTTACCTCTGTGGAATAGCATTTATTACATGTCTTTCAGTGAAATATTTGGTTGCCCCAGGCATCACCTAAAATGAATTAGGAAGATAAAGTTCCCTGCTTTTTTGAGTAAGGAAGGGAGCAGTCTAGAGAATTTTATGCATGTTTGCATGGGGTTGAGGTATTGGATGTGAAATACCTAGGAAGGCACTCATAGAAAATTCTTAAATGTTTGTTTCCTTCTTCTGTCTTCCCTTTAGGAAGAATGTTCTCTTTCTTCTGATTAGGAATAAGGAGTACTTTTAGTTGATGCTGGAGGGTGGAGGATCTTTCTGGATGGTCAGATTTGCCTGGAGTAACACAAGATACAGGAAAAGTCTAGGGTGACTGTGTAGGGGAAGGGAATAGCTGTTCTTAGGCTTGCCCTAAGAGGTGACCAGTTCAGTTTGGTAAGAACAACACCATTTTTTTTTTTTAAAGCGACAATTGAATTTTCAACACATAACTTGCCTCTCCCCAGCCCTGCCCCAAAGAAGCATATGTAGACTACAGAAATCTCAATCCCATATGTATACATATTTATGTAATTTTGAAGGATTATGTGGAGATTTCTTTGTTTACTCTGTTGGAGCCTTTAAACAGTGTTGAAAGGAAGAATAAAATAAGAGCATCTTCATAATGTTAATGGTGATGTTTTACTGGTGCTTAATTAAATTTAACTTGCTTTAAAAGAGACTTTCATATATGAAATTTTCATGAAGACACATTGAGGTGTGTGATAGGAAGGGCTCAGTTCTCCATCACGGACATACGGGCACCGCTACTGCTGTCCGTCCCCTTCCACCCCTCCGCCCCCCCGGCAAATATAGAAATACCCTGAGGTAACAAATTCATTATTTCTGCTTTCAAAAACTAACAGTAAATGGATTTTGCAACATAAAATTATTCTTTAGAGAATAAAATAATACACTTCTGGAAAGCCAGGTAATATGGAAGGGCTCACGTGCATGTACACACAGTCCCCTGTATTCGGATCACCTAGAGAGAGCCTCTGTTAAGGTTTGGGTGTACTTTGCTTTTACATACTTTTCAATGCATAGCTATATGTTTATATTTTCAATAATGCAATCATATTGTACGTTGTTTCATAGTCTGCTCTATGTATTGTGAACATTTTCCATGTTAGATATTTTGCATTTTAGATAGCTACAATTCAATTTTATGGGTGTACCATAACTTGCAACACCAACTTATTGTTTAAGAACTTGATTGTCAGTTACAATGTAAACTGTAAACAACGTGATCAGCGTCTTAAAAGATAATCGCATTTGTACAAAAATGATTTATTTCCGGAAGATACCTTTCTAGAAGTGAAATTGTTAGCTGGAAGTGTAGGTACGTTTGAGAGTCTTGATGTACATCACTCACCATAAAGATTGTGTCCCTTTATGTACCTGCTAGCAATATCAAACTCCCAGAATTGAAAATTGCTGTTGCAAGTGTTTGCAAATTGAATAATTACGGGAAAGGATTATTTTTAAAATTTGTATTTCTTTGATTACTTAATGAAGGGTGAGTGTTTTTTTCATGTTTGTTGACCATTTATATTCATTGTTTTGAGCATTGCTTATTCATAACTGTAATTCCTTTGAGAGAGTGCTGTTTTTATTGGTTTATAAATTCTTGATGAATTAAGATGTCTGTCTTTTGTCATATGTTATTGTTTTAGGTGTTACTTTCTTTTTAATACAGTTTGTGGTGTTTCAGTGTAGAAGTTTTCTTTAGGAGTCTACCTTTGCAGTTACCCTTGGGAGTGCCTTCCCTACCCCAAGGATGGAATGTATTTGTCCTTATTTTCTAGTACTTTTTTAAAATTTCACTTTTATATTTATATTAATTCAAAAGGAAATTTTTAATCCATCTGAAGTTTATGTGGGGATATATGAAGTAAGATTTAATTTTAATTTTTGCAAATAGTTGACCAGTTGGTTCAGCATCATAAACCATCATTTCCCCATTGATTTGAAATGCTGTCATAAAATATGAAATTCCCATGTGTCTTTTGTGCTATGGGCCTGCTTACGGGCCTTCCAGTTTTTCCTGCACTATTTTAATAATTATGGATTTAATCAGCATTAATATTTGGTATACAATTTCTCCCTCATTCTTTTAAATTCTATAAACTATAACCTACAGAAAAGTACCTAAAACAGGCGTGTAGTTTTTAATGGGTAAAGCAAACAGTTACGTAATCACAAACCAGATGCAGGAAAGCTACTGCTAGGACTCTGGAATCTTCCCGAGTGTCCCCTGTTGACACCCTATATATACCCCAGAGGTTACTACTATCCTGACTTTATAGTAATACTTTCCCCCTTTTAAAAAATAGTTTTTACCCATCGATGTATGCAATAATATGGTTATGTTGTTTTGCCTACTCTGGCCTGATACAGATGGAATCCTACTGTATGTGTGTTTGGTGTTTTTGACTCAACGTTGTTTATAAAATTCATGCCGTGTATAGGTGTGGTTTATCCATGTCATTGCTGTGCGATGTGCCATTTCATCAACACCACTTCCATCGAGTGTGACGGGCACCTCTGTGATAGTTTCCGTTTTGGGCGAGGATGGGTGATGCTGCCACGAGTATCTCTGCACATGTAAACACGTTTCTGTTGGGTATTTATCTAGTTCACTTGCCGGGATATAAGGCGTGTGTTATCTTTCACATTTAGTATTCCCACCATCCCCTGTCCAGCGCCTGTGAGAACTCCAGTTCACTAACACTTGATCTGCCAGACGGGGATTTTAGTCAACGTGATGTTTTTATGGTAGGCCTTCATTTTGGTTTTACTTTGCATTTCCCTAATCGGGGATGGCATCTAGCATCTTCATGTTTCCTGGTCATTGGATTTCTTCATTTGGAAAAGTAGTCATTCAAAACTGTTGTTCATCTCCTTCCTCGTTGATCTGGAGGATGTATTCCTGATGCTAATCATTATTTAGTTACATTTGTTGTAAATATCCTCTCCTCTGGATTACTTTTCAATTCTCTTCATGGTGTTTGTGATGAACAGAAAGTCTTCATTTTAATTGCAAAATTCTCAATCTTTTATGTTTAGTGTCTGAGGAATCTTTTCCTAACCTGAAGTCATGAACATATCCTTTTAAAATTGTTTTAGTTAAAAAAATGCCCTATAATTTTGCCTTTCCATTGTGTCATGGACTCTACCCGGAAATTATTTGTGACTGTGTGAGGGAGGATCCTGGGGAGCTTCTTGTCCTGGCACTGTGCAGCGTATGGCTTGCCCGTGTGCGTGTTACTGACTCCCCTCTCTGGTTCTGTTAATCTGTTTGTGATAATATCACTCCATGGTATTTATGGTAGCTTTATGGTAAGGCTGGAGTAAAGCTTGCCATCCTTTTTTTTTTTTTTTAATATTTATTTATTTTGAGAGAGGGAGAGTGCAAGCAGGGGAGGGGCAGAGGTAGACAGGGAGAGAGAGAATCCCAAGCAGGCTCCATGCTCAGTGAGGAGCCTGACCTAGGGCTCCATCTCACAAATAGTGAGATTGTGACCTGAGCCAAAATCAAGAGCCGGACGCTTAACTGACTGAGCCACCCAGGCACCCCATGCCATCCTATTCTTTAAGAGTCGTTTGGATATTTTTGGCTTTGCATTTTCACATTAAATTTTAGAATCAGCTTACTATGTTCTGCAAGAAACAAAACGGACCAAAACCCTTGGTAGTGCAGATTTCCATTCGTTGAAAAAAATGTTTGATATTCCATCATTAATTAATTTTTTATTCCTAACAAACTTAGGAGACAGGAGATCTGGAACCTTGCCATTTATGAAGTAATAACTATTTCAACGAGGATGACTAGTTTTGGGCTACACAAGTTAAAGAGAAAATTGAGAACACCATTTTACTGTGAATACCTAAAGCGTTGTGTAGTTTGGTTGAGATGAGTTAGCAAGTGAGGGATTTTATCTCGTAATGTGACATGATTCAATTTTTATTTTTCAAAACTACTATTTCTCCCATTCACGGAAAAGGAAACTGAGGCACAAGGACTTGAAATAACTTGTCCAAGGTCACTGAGTTGGAGATAAGGTTTGAACTCAAGCTGTATATGCCCTTAGCTCATAATCACTGTTGCCTCACCAACTCCAATCAAAAGGGTACAGACATAGTGGCCATGTTATCATCTGAATTGCAGGTGAACAGAAGTTAATTTTTGAAAATAAGTTTTAAGGAAGACTTTTTTTTTTTTTTTTTTAACATTTTTTTTTCAACGTTTATTTCTTTTTGGGACAGAGAGAGACCGATCATGAACGGGGGAGGGGCAGAGAGAGAGGGAGACACAGAATCGGAAACAGGCTCCAGGCTCCGAGCCATCAGCCCAGAGCCCGACGCGGGGCTCGAACTCACGGACAGCGAGATCGTGACCTGGCTGAAGTCGGACGCTTAACCGACTGCGCCACCCAGGCGCCCCTAAGGAAGACTTTTTAAATGTTAAAATTAGGTTCAAAATAGGAAAATAGAGTGAATTTGCAGTCTAAACTCTTCACCTTCAATTTTCAGGTGATTACGTTAAGAGAAGGGAGTGCTGATAACCTGAATGGTGGAAGATGTTTGAGGAATAATCTCATTATATAATAGTCACCTATAAGATAATAATTTCATAGGCCCTGTGTCTAATCCACATCACATTCTCTGGGGACCCTTCAAGGTGGACGTTGGCAGCTGTGGGTTTATCTGTATTTCCTGTATCTGGGATGTTGAGGTGATTCGCTCAAGGTCACTCAGAGGCAGCCAAGAAAAGAACCCCACGCTCAAGGCTTCCGGGCACGTGACTGCGTGGCCTTGCGCACAAAGCCACAAACTGAAGTTACACATGGGCTTTAATGCTGGGCAAGAGATCGGGTTACTGTCGGGTGTTTGTCAGGGTTCTGTGACTTAGGTCACAAAAGAGCTTTTGTTCTGATCATTTTTGTATTTGGAATGTTTTGTTTTTACTCATCTTAGAACCATATTGC